ACTATCAAAAGTACTCAATAACCCAAGGGCTGTGAATGTCTTTTATAAACAAAATCAAGAATAATTAAAATGGAAATAAGCTACTCTCGATTCTTTTTGATTCCTTTATGTTTGTGAGGGTGCTAGAATTAAATCAACAAATCGGCTAAGTATCTGATTTTAAATTAACGTATTTAGAATTTAAGCTATGAGTCTTGGAAAAAATTCAAAAATTTACAAATTTTCAAATTAAATGGAATTTATTTAGCATGCTATAATATTGCTTCATTAAATGTATTCCCACTTACTCTCTGGATCTCTGTAATGTCATTTTATAACATTTCACTCAAACATAAAAAAAATTTTATTTGGCAAATCATTTCAGTGCTACAATAAGGCCAATCAGAAGAACTGCAAATTCATATTAGCTACGACCAGCCAGGGACAATGCAGAGTATTCCCTTAATAAGTAACAAAATTATTCTCTGTCTTGTTTACATCATTATTCTACATTAGTGTACTTTAAAGTAGAGATTATCTAGCAGTTTTGTAAAAAATACTTAAAAGTGCTGATGAATAGGGGTGCCTACTGGCTCAGTCAGTTAGCGGCCTCTTGATTTGGGCTCAGGTCATGATCTCAAAGTTCTGGTTGGAGAGCAGCTTCAGGATTCCTGCTCAGTGGGGAGTCTGCTTGAGAATTCTCTCTCCCTCTCCCTCTGTCCCTCTGCTCATGTTCTCTCTCTCTCTTCAAATAAATCTTAAAAAAGTGCTGTGAGCATATATTAGTAATTCCTTAACAAAATTTAGTTATGAAATGTTATCATATTGTTGATAAATAACAGAATATTTTTTACATAATAAGATTGTATTACAGAAAAATTATTTTTAATGCATTCAGGCTTTATATTTAACTTTAGAGTATTCAGTTTAATTGGGCGCCTGGGTGGCTCAGTAATTACATGTCTGCCTTCGGCTCAGGTCATGATGCCAGGGTCCTGGGATCGAGCCCCGCATCGGGCTCCCTGCTCCGCAGGAAGCTTGCTTCTCCCTCTCCTACTCCCCCTGCTTGTGTTCCCTCTCTCGCTGTGTCTCTCTCTGTCAAATAAATAAATAAAATCTTAAAAAAAAAGAATATACAATTAATTTCTATTTTGAATGCTCTAAAATATTAAGAAAATTTACTTTTTTGAAAGTTCAACAATGTGTATTTTGGGATTAAATAATTTTGAAAAATATCCAACATTTTGAGTGCACTGCAGTTTTAGTGTCATTGCTAGGGAAAGTAAATGAGAAATGCATTGCCTTGATCATGATATTCATTCCTTTGAGGTAAGAATACCTTTTGACAAGTGAAATACGTAAAGCATATAACCTAAAATATCTCATCTGAAAAAAATATTTTGTGTTTTTGGAGTTTAAATGAGGTAAGTTGAAATTGAACAAATAAGAGTTAACACTGTTCACAGCACTCACCATAGCACTGTGCAAGACTGTTGAATCACAGATCTGTACCTCTGAAACAAATAATATAATATATGTTAAAAAAAAAAAAAGAAGAAGAAGAAGAAGATAGCAGGAGGGGAAGAATGAAGAGTGGGGGAAATCGGAGGGGGAGATGAACCATGAGAGACGATGGACTCTGAAAAACAAACTGAGGGTTCTAGAGGGGAG